ATTGAAACACAACTAATACCCAAGTGATTGGTCCCGAACTGCATCTCAAAGCCATCTTCGGTGGCCAACTCGGGACACATCATAACTCCGGCATTATTTATAAGGATATCGATTCTGGACTCTTGTTGTGCCACTGATTTGGCGAACTCTCGCACCGATGAAAGTGAAGACAAATCCAATTGAATGAAACTGATGTTTGCCTTTGGGTTCAAAGAGCGGATATGTTGGACGGCATCCCTTCCTTTAGTCAGATCACGACAACCAATGATTACCTTTCAATGGAAAGTATATCAAATGAATAACTTATGGAAACTTATGGAAACTTTGCAACAATTTCATACAAACCTTAGCCCCACGTAATGTCAACTGATAGGCCGTCTCCTTCCCAATGCCTGTATTACCACCGGTTAGGACAACCACCTTATGGTCGAGTCGTGTCTTACTCTCACATCTCCTTCTTATGCCAAATATGTTTTTAATCACTTCTATAATGGCATTAATTATAGCACTTATTACTACTAATACTCTGCTAAATAAACTCATTTTAAACTATGATCTCTCGTACAGCTAGTAAACGTAATAGTAAACACTCCTTGATCATAAAAATGGATGTTTTGCTATGGAAATGACCTTCACCATATTAATTATCTCAATTACCGTATCAGCAACTTGTTATAGCTAGCACACTTGCATCAGTTTTTACTCATTTTATTCAAGAATTTATTGTGTTATTAAAAAAATCTAACTATAAAGTATTTACTGTATTTTAATATTGAACTAGTGAAATATGTCATATAAATATTATAATAGTTACTTGCATGAAAATTTTTATTAGTGTTAGAGTAGGATTTATAATTTATAATAAACTCATAATGCTTAATTACAATAATTGTTTATTATAAAACTGTGTCATTGATTTGTTTTTAAATGTAATTCATTTTTAAAAATTTAAATTCATTACCAAGCAGTTTTATTTTACAGATTGTAGTTGAATATTACTTAAGATTTAAAAGTATTTGAGCCATTATTATAATCCATTTTAATATACATATTAATTAATTAATATCTTATTATGATAATATTATATAATCTAAATCTTCCCTTTATGTAAATTCTATTTATAAATAATTTATTAATTTTCCATAAAGGTTAAAACTAAGTATAGTTAATTTTTTTATTATAATTTTAATTTAATTATAATATAGTGTAACGTAGAAATTAACAGTCAAATGGAAACATTTTTTAATCAATAATAATTATTGTCTCATTAATTATTTTATATCATAAATAGAAAGTGGT